TATAGACTCAATGCAATCCCAATCAAAATGCCAGAAAATTATTTTATGGATATTAAGAAGCTGAGGTAAAGTTTATATACGGAGGCAAAAGATTCAAAATAGCCAACACAATACTGAAGAAGGAGAATAAAATTGGAACACTGACACTACCTGACTTCCAGACTTACTATAAGCTACAGGAACCAAGACAGTGTGGAATGGGTGAAATAGTAAGCAAATATATAATTTCTGTACAGTTTCCTCTATGGTCTACAGATAATGGAGTCTCTCTAAATTTTGAAAGGCTTTTACCACAGCCCCCAGCTTCTGACAGAGGAATCAGTTCTCTGGTTGTCCAGGCAATTGCATATGCAGCCTAGCTGAGAGATGTCACTTTCCTCAACTATATTATAAACTCCGCTGAAACTGCAGCTCACCAGGTCTGTCCTGTTTTACTGCTATTTCAACCAGCATCTAGCATAGTGTCTGGCATAATGCAGGTGCTCCACAAATATTTGATTAATTAATACATGAGCAAAAAAGATGAATTGAGAGGACATTATACTAAGTGAGATAAGGCAGACAGAGAAAGACAAATACCAGATGATATCACATATATGTGAAATAAAAAATAAGAAATAAATAAAGTCAAGTTCATAGAAACAGAGAGTAGAAAAGTGGCTGCCAGGGGGAGGGTGGGGGAATTGGGAGAGGTTGGTAAAACTTTCAGTTACACGATGAATAAGGTCTTAAGAACTGATGTATAACATGATAGCTATAGTTGATTATAATGTACTGTATAATTAAAATATGCTAAGAGAATAGAGCTTTAATGTCCTTTCCTGAAAGGAAAAAAAAAGGAAATATGTAAGGTGATAGATGTGTTAATTAACTTGATAGGGCATGGCTTTTACTATATATATAATTATCATGTTTTCACTTTAAATATAATTTTGTCTATTATACCTAAGTAAAATTAGAAAAAAGGAGAATAATAAGATGATAAGATGATCTAATTTAAAATCCATCAATTCTTACTTAGCTTAGTATCTTCTAAATAACATCTTTCAACTGTATTACAATATTTGTCCAACAATATTCCATGAAATGTATTCACTACAAGTGCTGTTACAGTGTTAAGCAACCAAAGAATAAGTGCTTGGCATCAGTTATGACGATTGGTTTATTTAGCAAACAATTATTTATTGAATGTTTAGTATATTTCTAACATGGCACCAGTCTCAGTGCATAGACAGGCAATCCAATGAGAAATTATCCTTTCCTTCTTAATACCAGGTCACACTAGCCTGCATTTGTAAGACCAACAGGTCATTATGACTTCCCTCCTTGAAAAGTCTCAAGGCAATCCTTAACCACTTACTTCCTGGTTCACTCCAAGTCTTAGTAAAGGAATGCAATGAGCAGTTCAACCTATTGCTTTTTTACTCTTTTTTTTTTTTAGCTTTAGAACAAGTCATCTCTCCCCCATATTCCCACTTTTTTGAGTGGTTTCCTTTTTTCTCTGCCTCTTCTCTCTTTTATCTCATAAGAAGGAAAGCCGCCCAGTTTTCCTGGGTGACTTTTTCATGGGCTCTATCATCTCCCACTCCTAACTTGGAGGACAGGTGAGGAAACAGACTCTTGGTCCCTGACTATGTCTTCTCATTGCTGCCTTAAATGTGAAGTCAATATCACCCATCCGTTTATATCACTTACTTCTAATCACCCCTGGTTTTGCATTATTCTTTAATATTCACTTTTACCTTCCTGGATGTATCACTTGGCTCACATCTTTTCTTCCAACCATTTACTGTTTTCTTCTTCGAAATATAAACTACATTTGCTATTATGGGAAAGAAAGTATAGTGGTTAAGAGCACAGATTCTGGGGTCACACCATTTGGGTTTGAATCCTGACTAACATTTTAACTATGATTGGGGCAATTTAACATCTCTGCGCCTTAGTTTTCTCATTTGTAAAGTGAGTAATAATAATATCTACATTATAAGGATTACATGAGTTAAGACCCATACAACACTTAAATAATTACTGGCACATTAGAAAGCACTCTAAAATGCCATTATCATGATGACCCTTGGGATATTAATATCCAAATTTTAACTATTGACTTTCAACTTCTGGACATATTGGCATCCAGACATAGTTCTACCTTGCACCAACTAATTTACTCCAAGATTTCAAATGTATTTCTCTCAAGTATAAAAATCCTTCCTTAGACTTCTCACTCTTGAAAACTCCCAGAACCTTTTCTTTTGCCTTAAAACACTAATTCTCTCCAGATTATTCCAAACATTAGCAACCTAACTTGGCAAGCTTTAACTCTCATAATTTCCTAATATGAGTCTTAATTAGTCTAATCTTAATCTCTTCTCTCTTCTTTGAAGACATACACTTAAAATCTTTCAATGCCCAGAGATTGATAATCTTACTTGTCCTTTAGTAACTAAATTTATATCTTCCAGGAAGCCCTTTCCTACCATTTTAGAACATACACATTCCATCTTACGACCACCTTCCCTCCTGCTCAAACACACAAACTCACAAACCTCACAAATCGTACATACTTTACAGAATTGCTTACCTGGGCATTTAGTGAGAATCTCTATTTTACATGCATATATATGTTACCTCCCCCACTCTATTATTAGCTCCTTGAAGGTAAAAACAACACCAATTGAAGCTGACAATATGCTAGGCATTCTTTTAAAACTTTACATTTATTGACTCATTTAATCCTTATAACAACCTTAAGAAGTAGCTACTGTTATCCTCATTTTATATCTAAGGCAGAGAGAGGTGAAGTCAAAAAAATACCTTTGGCACAGACCTAAACATAAGGTGTATATATTTGCTGAGTGAATGAACTTACTCATACAGTTTTATAATCTTGCTTTAGTTCCATGAATGAGGTATCAACATTTATCCCGAGTCCCTCTTTGTAAATATTGCCAAATAAAGGTGCTTCATTTCTACTACTAAAGACTAAAATAGGACATGCCAAAAAGTAGGGGTCCAACAAATGCTTTCTAAGGGTAAATTTGGGAAGGCATCCTTCTATGGTCCTGGATGCTATTCTGATAATAATGGTATGAAAGCATTTGTAATTTAGTTAGGGAGCACTTGGTTCTATATGTACTTTTTGAAGTAACTTCCAAGGATTCCGTAGCACTTATCACATATCTTCTTGTGCACACAATCTCTGAAAAAGAAGCATTGCAAGTAAAGAATATCTAAGCTATGTTGACTGACAGTCAGCTATTAACTACTTGTGTGCCCTTTGGAAACTCAGATTTATGCGGGATTTCTTATCTGTAAAAAGAGGAATCTGGGCTAGCATAAACTGGCCTCTAAGGAATTCTAAGCAGTCATTCACTTTTAAAATTAGTCTCTTGAGGGTGACTGTAAGAATTAAGGAAAATATATTAATGCAGAAGAAAATTTTCAGGAAATTTTTCAGAACCAAAGTCAGATGGGAACAGTAACTCCAAATGTGCATTGGAGAGCTGACTCTCCCACACAAAGGACTTCCACCTGTAACTAGGACTAAAAGATGTCAATGGGGAGGTTAAGGCCACTCGAGGTTGTCCCATTTTCTCATGTACTCTTTTCCACTGTCCCTCAATTAATTTAAAATGCAATCAAACACCCCTGAACCTGAATGCATAATGTTCAACATCAGTTAAGTACATTCATCCTTTGTGGGGGGAAAAAAAACATTCTAGTAATATACAAAGCAAATATTTCTATGAAGAATTAATTTCAGTAGGAGGAGTATAAATCTATGAATAAATTGTTGAAAATCATTTTCATCAAAAAGGCATAATAGTTGCAAAGAATCACCTGTTAGGCTTCTACAGGGAATTCTGTTGTTGTTAAATGTCATTTAGGTAGTATTACTTTGGTGTAAATGTGTATTTGAAAGCCCCTTGTAGATACAAATTCCCCACTCCCTCCCTTCCTACTCTTGAAATGCAAGAACTCAACAGAGAGCAGACATTTTCATCTTTGGTTTCTTGTCTAAGTGTGACCTCAGAACTCCAGAGGTAACCCTAAGCTCATTTCAGCTCATTATAAAATACTTATTGTTAGAATTCAAATGTGAAATGATCTTTAAATGTATTTTTATCTTCAAATATAAATGTGATTGGCTGTTTAGCATTTAGTGTAGCTAGAAAGACAAATTAAAAAACATTTTCTATGAGAGTACAAGTCTGAAACACACTGTGCAAGCCAGTTCAAAATCATTAGATACATATGTAATTTAGATGACACTAAAAATATTACTTAAAGCAAAATACTTCTTTAGAAACTATATTATTGTGGTGTCTAAACTTTTCATTTTCTTTAAACTGCTTACTCCTCTATTCTCACACACTTACAAAAATATCCTAAACAAAAAACTTTAAAAACTGTTTAGAATTACCATTCTTCAACTATTAC